ATAAGTTCGCTTGCCACTGTTGCCTTCTGGTTAGACTATTGAGCCAAAGCGCTAGAAGTGACAACCTCGAACAGACAATCCGAGCGGCTGTTGGGGACCTGCCCGTACTCACAATTCCCAAGACACTTCATGGAAAAACTATGTCCGAAATATCTAAGTAGAATGAAAACGGACTACTCGGTGTTAAAACACCCCTTTAAGATTAACTGATAGATCAAAAGTAATAAGATATTGGTGTAAATCAGCTTTCTGCGGTAGACGTGGTCAAAACACAACCCAAACTGTGCATGAGAGTAAAAAATCGTGGAAGTGCAGCTAATTTAGTTAAGTGCACCTACCCTTTAGGGATTGAAGGAAACCTGGGGAAACACCTAGCTAAATTTGTGTACGGTAGACGACTGTAGCCAACGGTGACTGTACGCACCGATGAAATGTATTACTGACACGGCAAATTTTGTGCTACTTATTTTGCGAAGGTAGCGAGGGATATTTAATTATTTGTGGTGGTGCATGTGACTGCATAGCTGGCCGTAGGATATGCAGCGCGCCATAGAGTCTGGATTCGTTAAACAGTGAAGGAATTTAATGTGAGCGCCACGGACACCTTACCCTGAATCCAACCTAGGCTGATAACGGGTATTATTATCGTAGGCAATAAACTAACACAATGTGGGGAGATGTAAAGCTTTCGATTAAACGTTTCTCACTTGTTATTCTAGAGGACGGTTTCACTAAAGGCAACTCTCATGAGTCCTGTAGTCTGTGCGAAAATGGTTTAGCTTGACTCAACCTAGGAAGCTCTTTTAGATATCCGTGGAACATAGGTGTGGCACGATTAGAACAGCCAATATAATTTTGAACTGCAAATGCGGGAATATGCACACGCATGTGTACTGTCCGTTTTCGTTAAAAGCATCTAAAAAAACTGTGAACGTTGTGCCTGCCCGCTGAATAATAACCTTCAAATGTATACTGACACACGGCAATATTGGCCTTACATACTTATTGTACAATATAATTCTTTTTAGGACATTACCGAAAATATAATTCTTTGCATTATCGTGTTAGCTTAGAAAGCAGAAGTCGGGAGAATAAAAACGTGACTTACACGTAAATTCACCTCCTCGGGCGCGGGCTCATGTACTGGAGGTTTAAACTTGCCACAACAAAAGTTGCAGCAGAAACAACAGCAACAGCAGAAGTAGCAGCCGGTGATTGCGCAGCAGAAGAAGAACAGGCCCTGGGTGAATGTAAAATTAAGGTGTTGAAAGGCGACGATATCGGAAACAATCGCAGACTAAAATCATTACCATAAACTATTCGAAGAGACAGTAGATGGTAGTCAATTAATATTTCAAAATCGTTAAGTTACGTTAGTGGTGGGATGACCGAAATTTAAATCTCATCAATAGCTCACGCGTACTAAACCACTAAGTAACTGTTTAATAAATGAAGTACATACACTTGTTGTTATATACAGTGGTCGCCAGTTATTAAGCCCACGGTTAATAAGCCCAGCCGCTTATTAAGCCCAATTTGGTCTGGGCTCGAGGTGGGCTTAATAACCGGCGACTGCTGTATTGAAAACAGAAGACAGTTTGTAGGCAGAATGTAATATATGCAAGAAAGAAGGCTGTCTGTAGGCAGGACTTGTACTAAGGACGGGGAAACAGTTCAAGTCGACGCGTCGTGTTAACAAGAAGAATTTATGGTGGGGCTTAAAAGTAGGAGTCTGAAGGATAGCCAGTCAGAGCAAAGAGAGGGGTGAACCCACTGGCCAGGCGTGAA